TGTTAAAATAATACAAGATTGTCACAAGCAATCACCTAAAAGACAATTTGGTTTGTTCCTTGCTGAACTGGACAAGAAGGACGTGGAAAAGTCAGTCGAGACAAACATTTGGCCAAAAAAGGTGGATGAGTCCTCACTGGAGAACTCCATTCCTGCAGCCTCAGAATCATGATGCAGTGGTTTTGATGATGTCAGTAATGTGCTGAGGCAGTGACACAAACAAGCCTACATAGGTAAAATAACTCTGAAATTAATCATAAAACACCTCAGGATCAGGGCAGTTTAACAATGAGAAGAACTGCATGTAAACAAAGTACTCATGAAATACACCTGGAAAATTGGAGATGCTTTTCCACAGCAGACTCACCCCACCAGTGCCCCATCCCACCCCTCCCAACACGGGAACTCTTCTCCTTTTCTCAGAGTATGAGAACCTTCAGCAAGTCAACAGCACAAAGTATTTTCTCCTAGATCATGATGCAACACAGCAGGATTGCTAAATTGCAACAGACAACACCATCAAAAACATCCCAACTTTCTGGAATACAAATCCGAGTGACAACAGCAGCCACCCTGCTCTACAATCCCACTATAAGACATGGACAGAATTTAAAAAAATTCTTTTGATCACCCCTGGAATATAAGTACAGCACTGAGCCTGTATTGCAGCAGGTACAATAAAATACATTTTGATTTCAGGATTACAGTGGGAAACTTCCTGGATCCTGCTATAATATATCCAGGACATAATTAATTCGGAAATCCTCTAATATATGGGCAAAACTTCAGACCTTATTCTATATTAAAAACAAAAGAAAAGCAACATCCTTTAAAAGAAGCAAGGAACAGTTCACCTTATTCTATGTGAACAGAATACGTACATTATAGATAAATGTTTGCCAATTACAGCATAACACTGGAATTCTTCAGTGAAAGACGAAGAGCTTGAATAAATAAAGAAAATCAAAGGAAATACTGGAAAACTGACAAGCCTGCTTCAAGCTGCTTCAAGAAGAACTCATACTAAACATAAGACCACGAACACACCCATACTGCTTCTCAGCAAAGAGTCTAAGGAAGCAAAATTTTCAGTATTTTACTATGTTAAAAGGTTGTTTGTTTGAAATCACACACAAAGAGCACGTAAACGCTTAGTATCGGACACAGAGAGGGACACGCTGCAGACAAAGGCTACCTAGCAGAGGGAAGCAGAGAATAAACAATTAACCAGGAGAGCAGCAACACAACCCCACGGCCGAGCCGGGGGGTCGCAGGTCAGGGACAGCCTGGGGATAGAAGGAAAAACAGCGAGCACAGACACGGGGCGAAGGCAGAGCTTTTCAGGATGGCTCCGTGCACACCCCGGGGTCCGAGCAGGGCCCGGCACGGCCCCGCGCCCCCCCCGCGGCCCCACCGCCCCCTCAGGCCCCGGCCCCGCGCACTCGCCTCGTCCGCGCTCAGCTCCTCCATCGCCTTCCTCTTAATGGTGCCCGGAGGGGGGGGCGCGTTCCTCCGCCCGGCCGCGGGGCCGCTCCGAGGCAGCGCTCTCCTGCCGCCGCTGCCCCCCGGGCCGCCTCACAAGGGCATCTCCGGGGCGACCGCGCCGCGCCTCGCCCGCCGGCAGCACCGCCGCCCCCGGCCCGCTCCCCGCCGCCCACCCGCGCCTCAGCTGCCGCCGCGGCCGAGGGGAAGCCGCCCTCCCGGTGCCCCCGCGCCCCTCAGAGCTCTCCACCTCGGCCCCCGCCCGCCCGCAGCCGCTGCCCCGCGCAGAGATTATTCATCAAAACAACAGGGCGGCGGCGGCCATCTTGGGGATCACGTGACCCCGCGGGGGGCCGGGCACGCCGGGGCCGCGCGCGCGCCGCGCTGGCCAATGGCAGCGGCCCGAGGGGCGGCGGGGGCGGAGCCTGTGAGGGACGAGCCCGGGAGAGGCGGAGCCCGGGAGGGGCGGGGACTGTGAGGGGCGGAGCCCGTGGGGGCGGGGTCCGGGTCTCTTGACGGGACGCGGGGCGAGCGGCTCCGGTGGCGGTGAGGGGTCCGGGAGAGGCGGGAACAAGGGCGAGCAAATGGGTGTGCAAATGGGTGTGAACAGGCATTAGCAACTGAGCGCCGATCTATCGATCGGCAGGCATTACCAGTCGATCGCCGACCTAATCGATCGGCAGGCATGAGCAACCGATCGCCGATCTAATCGATCGGCAGGCATTACCAGTCGATCGCCGATCTAATCGATCGGCAGGCATTACCAGTCGATCGCCGATCTAATCGATCGGCAGGCGCGATCAATCGATCGCCGATCTGATCGATCGGCAGGCATGAGCAATCGATCGCCGATCTGATCGATCGGCAGGCACGATCAATCGATTGCCGATCTGATCGATCGGCAGGCATGAGCAATCGATCGCCGATCTAATCGATCGGCAGGCATGAGCAATCGATCGCCGATCTAATCGATCGGCAGGCATTAGCAATCGATCGCCGATCTAATCGATCGGCAGGCATGAGCAATCGATCGCCGATCTAATCGATCGGCAGGCGCGATCAATCGATCGCCGATCTAATCGATCGGCAGGCGCGATCAATCGATCGCCGATCTAATCGATCGGCAGGCATTAGCTATCAGGCGCCGAGCAATCGATCACACTCATTGCACACACCTTGCACTCATTGCACATTCCTTACAGACTCATTGCACACTTCTTACACACTTCCTGTTCACTCCTTGCACTCTCCTTACAAACTCCTTGCACACTTTTTGCCCACTCCTTGCATGAGCAATCGAGCACCGAGCAATGGAGTGTGTAAAGGAGTGTGCAGTGACTGTGCAAGGAGTGTGTAAGAATGGGTACATAACCATTAACCCCTTCTCAGTGACGAGTGATTCAGAATTCACAGGATTTAAATCTAATTATTGTGAGCTGAGTAACGTCCCAAGAGAAAAATAAGATGCCAAGACCCCACTGAGCACTCGGCCTCGGCCTTTTGTAAATGTAATTTGAACATGAAGGTGTTTTTTTAATCTTAATATGAACTTTTCTGCCCCTGATTCCCTCATTATACCACAAAATATTTTGTTTCTGGAAGACATCAATCTTTTCCCTCACACTCGAAATGAAACTCAGCTACAGCCAAGTTACATGTAAGTACACTGGAGGCTCACCCCCAGCTCAGCTTTTTAAAGTTACAATACACGTAGATGAAAGAGAAAAGGATTTTTTAAAGTTGCTCTTTTAGCAAAGGATTAACGAATTGAGAGTTGCATCAGCAAGTTTTTAGCCCAGGATGAAGAGTCACTAATAATATGACCTGAACAGCAAGAGGTGCATGGGGCAGTGTGATTTGAGTCAGCAAGGGAAGGAATCCTGTAAAAGCTGTTCTTTGAACATGAAAAGGATGCTCTTAAGATGGAACTAAACTGATCCAGATGAGCTGTTAGGACATCTTTTCATGCACGTTGCTAATAATTATCCAGCAGTAGAATTGATCCAGTTTGTTAAGTGCATGGATGAGGCAGGCTGGCTATCTGGATTTGTGTTTTTGTATACATCTTTAATGTACTTTATTGATCTAAATATTTTTGAACAAAATATTTTGATGACTTAACCAGGGTGCTCAGAAAGGAGACCAATACTTGGATCATAATATAAATTGCCAGTCTTTTTATAGACTAGATGTATATTGTTACCTTTGATTTTTAGATTACACTTCATTTTGCATTAATTTCCTTCGGATTTTTTTTAAGATAATTGAAGTGGTTTGAAACACCTTTGAATAAAACCCTTCGAGTGCTTCTCTGGGGAGCTCTGTTATTATCCTTCAAGGTCATCGCTGCCTTTCTGAGTTGCATCTCGGAGCGGTTTTGCGGGAGATCCCGGCCGGGAGCGGCGGGCTCGGGAAGATCCCGGTCGGGAGCGCTCGCTGCAGAGGCGCCATCCGGCGGCGCAGGAAACTCCGCCTGCTGCTGCCTGTCATTAGCGGCGGAGTTAATTGTGATTTGTGATTTCTGCTAACGGAACGCTCTTATAACCGCAAGTTTGTTTTCAAGCAAATGAAAGCACTCGGTTCCAGAAGGGAGACGCTGTCAGGATCCACAGCATAAACACCAGGCATTTTACTGCCGGGGCCCACGTTTCCCTAACTGTATAAAGACTACTAGTCCTTTCCTTTTTCTTTTGGAAACCAGTTTAAATTTATACAGGTGGAGGGAATCAATCTAACCAAAAGCCCTCCATGCTTCAATGGATTTTGTCTGACTCTGATGGTGACTTTAAGCGTTTTGAACCGATAAGAAGTATCACAAAGGTGGTGCTAATTGTTCCAAAATGTCAGGGACTATTTCTTTAATATGAAGTAATAGGTTACTAAGCTTGATCTACAGTTCAAGAATATGCAGCAACTCATTTCGTTTGTAACTACCTAGTTTATATTACACGTTCACACAAGAAACTATGCAATATTTCTATGCAATATTGCACACTGTCATAAAGAAAAACATTTAATCTAACTAACTAACAGTTGCATGCAAACAAAGCTTAACGAAAGCAGCATAGTTTTCCCTCTGTGCTTACAGAGTTCAATTATTTTGCAGACTGGAAACTTCGTGGATCACTCGGACCCATCTTCATGGTTCTGGGATTTGACCACAGGCTTGTTTCCTCTGGTAAGCTCAACTGAATTATTTTTGAGAATAAAGCAGCTCTGGCACAATATGGGGCCTCACACCTCAGTGTGAAAGACACAAGCAAGTAAAGTAGTAGTCTACACCTTAAAGAGAAGCATTTTGAAAAAATGAATCCATACCTTTTGTTTGTTTCATTATTTGTTATGTTCCCTTCTCTGTCAGCACCCCACTCCCCGTTTTGTTTGATGATGACACACCTCTTAGAATTGTCACGTTTTCTTCTTTTAATTGACTTTTAATTACCTAGAGACCCACGCCTCATCACTTATGTTTTGGGTTGGGTTTTTTCCCTCCAAAAACATATTCAAAAGCAAGACTCTTAAGATTAGTTTGGTTTGGGGCGTTTATTAGCAAAATTTAGACCTTTAACAGTGGTAACAGCAGATTAATTTCCTGAGCCAGAAACTCCAGACCATTGAGGTTACTGGGTACGAGGCAGTTCTTGTCCACAGAGCCCTCCCTGGACACGAGGCTCCTGTGCAGAGCAGTCCCTGCAGGCAGCACCCAGCACACATTCAAGCTCTCTTGAAGATCTGTTTGCACACTTGATTCTCACAACGAAGCTCCTACCAAAAACAAGCAAACAGAAAACCCCAGAGTATAGATAGATGCAGTAATCAAAGGAACTGCTTCCAGAACTGAACACACACCCTTTGCCACCGCTCTGGCCACGCTGAAAACTCACCCCTAACATTCCCAATTTAACGACACATCACAGTGAAACAATGAAGCTGGTTCAAAGCAGAATGTGCTCACAATGTACCACCCATTACACATCCTACTGAGCTAGGAGACTTGTGCACACCACGACCACATTATAAATCTAATTTTTGCCATACAGAGATGTAATTAGTAGAAATCTGAAGTCAATACCAGGTGGAGGTCATCCCCTTCAAGCCAGTGAGTCCAGCCCCTGTTCTTCTTCTCACCAGTCTGGACACAGACAAGTTTGTCATTTTCCCAGGTAACGAGGCTCTGTAGAACAGGGAACAAAAATATGTTTCTGCATGTCTGTCTCATACTTGTATGATGTAGAAAATACTTTTAGAAAATGTGCATTTTGCTGGATAAAAGAGGAACTAGCTATTACTCCTGAGTGAAAGTGGCACTCCTTGTCTGTAACTCAGGCTCCTACTGCTGTCTTGCACTATACAAATATTCTTGAAACAATTTCAGCTCAAGCATCTGGATTGATCATCACCGTCTCATATATTCACTCTTACCTTGCATTTTCTGTTATCCAAGCCTTTATTATCTTCCTCAAACTCCTCTCCAACTTTGAATTCAAGCAGATAATCTCTGAATGTGCTAGTGGTGTGGATATAGAATGAATCACCATCTTGTTTGATCACTTTCTGAGGCTTCAGCATTTTTGCTATTTTGCGTGTTGCAAAGTCAATACCTTGGACAGAAGGCAAAAATATCAGAGTTGTATTTATCACCAGCCATTCTGGCAGCCAGGAATTAACCCTTATTACTACTGGAAGCATTTCTTTGGTAGTTTGACCTTACTGCTGTGCAGCATTTTGTTGTTTTATTGGAACCTTTAGTTTTGTTTAAAGCTGCATGTTGCACAGATTATGTTGTCCTCTTCTACTTTTTACTCTTTGAAAACCACTTTACTCAGTTGCTGCACAATTCCTATAAAAGATTTCCAGATTTTTTTTTTTTTGAGCCAGAAGACTCCTGCAGAAAGTTGACTTCCCCCTCAGAGACATCCAAATTTGGTTTCAGACTTCACCCCCACTTAGCAAGAGGTCAATGCCTATTCTCATCCTTTAACAGAGGAAAGGCAATGAAAGAATTAACAAGAATTCTCAGCATCCTATACCTTAAAAATGAAGTGCAGTACCTAAAATTCAAGAAGACCCTTCTGGGAGAAAGGAAGGAAGGACAGAATCAGGTATTTTCACCTACCTAAGGCCACCATATAACCTTCAAAGTTGTCATTGCTGACGAGGTTCCAGGTTCCACTGAAATCCACAGGCATTGCCAGACAGTAGAAGGAAGATGCAGACAAAAATGGAAATGTGGTTTTGTAGCCAGGCCTTTTATAAGGCAGCGTGGAGGGGAAGGGTGCTCTGCTGAGCCACTGGGTGAGAGGGTATTTTAGAATGGCTTCAGCTGTGCTGGAGGGAAAAGTTCACCGTGCCTGAAATCTTTGTGTGGAGCAAATGTTAATGGCCCAAGAGCCACAAAACAAGCCAAAAACGGGTTTAAACCATTTTGTCCATCTTGTATACCTTAAATGACTTTTGTCATTACTAAGACTTCCTGCAAGTTTATTAGATCTGGGACTTTATGATCTGAAATCCAGATATTTGTGGAAAAGGTGATGTACCCCTGTAAAGACATGCTGTACTTGAACAGACACGGATTGACTGTTCAACTGGATTGTATTATATCAACAAATCTTAAAGCAGTACCTATGGCACAGAGATAAGAATTATATCATTTTGGTTTATGTCTGGAGTGAAAGTAAACAGAATTCAAAAAGTAATCTTGTGTATTTAGGAGATGTAGCTCCTGCCTTTGCTTTCTGTTCTTGACACAGGAGCTGTTCCCACTGATGCTTTATTAGATGCTACACGTTGTGGCAGAACACACAGGCAGTGGAGCACATGATGCAGCAGATTAAGCTTCAGTGCTGGACTTCACCTTCAGTAAAGAAGTGAAAGAAATCCCTGGTAACCCAGCAATGTGTTTTGAAAAGTGAATAAAAAATGGTTGACTTCGAAGAGAAAGTACTTAGGGAATTTGTAAGTGAGGAAATAAGGGATTTAGAGGTGAGGAAACACACCTGTACCTACTACATTTATTTATTTATTTACTGACTTGTGTTGGGCTGATGTTGTGAATAAGAAAGTTAGTATTTTGCAGAGAAGTTTCCCCCAAGTTTAGCTCTGTTTTTGGAGCTGGCAGTCTCATCCATATGACTCACAGAATCATGCAAGTAGGAACTCAGGACGTCAAAGCTTCTTTCCTGTTTGCAGCTGGATATTGTTCTCTAACCTACACTAAACCAGGAATGGCACTGAGAAATTAAAATTACTGTTTCCTCTCCACTCAAATAGTAACATTTCACCCACAACTTGGTGTTCTGAGGTTATGGTAGTAAAGCACTGTTGCAACACTACTGACTCTTGCAAGATAAGTCAGTACTTGGTAAGTCCTGTCAAAGTCCAGATATAACATTTTAATTTAAATTATGCAGATAGTCTGGGGTGTGGTCCTTCTTTCTGCAAATCAGTACTTAAAGCTCACACAAAGACCTCTAAAGGGCACCAGGGTTGCTGTTTAAAGTCTCAGCCACAGAATTGCCTATGGAGCTCCTAAGAACTGCCTATTGCCCTGGCCACATCCCATGATGGTTCATTCCTTTCTCCTTTTAACTTTCTAATTTTATTTTTGTGGAAATACTTTTTTCCACTTCCATCCTAGTTTCTGTGAAGCACTGAGCATCTAACACATTCTCTTAGGGATGTGGCCCAATTACAGAAGCAGATCAAGTGGGTCCTGCTGCTGCTGCAGCATTAATAAAATATTTTGAGTCTAAATGACGTGTGGTGAAAGGACCCCGTGTTCCCTTGAGGGTCTGACAAATCCTCCAAGTTTTACCTGTCTGCCATCCATGAGCAGCCCCAGCCCTGGCTGTGGTGCTGGTGTTTCTAACTGGAACAGATGGCCAGGGAGCAATGACTTCCAGTGCTGTAACAGGCAGGCTCCTGGATCCTGCCAGTGAAACAAAGGATGCACAGCCAGCAGCCAGCCAGGAGGGTGGAACATGACCCAGGACCTGCCCAACAGCCTCTCCTGCCTGGACACTCCCACTTCAGCTGGGTCTGGTCTGAAAAACGTGACCAGAGTCATCCTGTGGAGATCCCAGGAAAGAGCTGTTGACCCACGAGAAAGTGGCTTGCGAACCTTGGCATTCTTAATAAGGCACATAAAAAAAAAAAAAAAAAAGAGATAGCAGCAAATAAAGGGAGGTAGAATTCTATCACCACAACAGTCACAGTGCCTCTCTACTTATGTTCATACAATATAGAAAATACACTGATTTAAAACCAGATTTCTAGCAAAGAAAAATATTTCACTTACAGTCAGTATTGATATCCTACCATTTTCTCTCCAGTAACAGAAAACAATTCTGGCTATATATAATTATATTCTACTTATGGCTCAAAAGTAAAAGATACTTTATTATATGAAATAAATGTATTATTTGTAATAAAGGGACAAGTGTCTGAGAATTAGTGCAATGACACTATTATTAATTTCTATCTATTAAATCAATGGCTTTAAACCAGTTCCTGAGGTAGGTTTGTCCTTCCATCAGAAACAATACTGAGCTTAACATTACAGCCCTGGAAACCTGAACAGGAAAGTACAGTACAAGACATTTCTGGAAGCAAACTGCATGACAGCAAACAAGCAGCTGCATATCTCAAAGGCAAGCAGCTCAAAGCATGCTAAACCTAGAACCACTTCAGCCAGGAGGAAGTTCTTCCCTTCCAGGATAGAGATAAGTAATTTTTTGAGGTGAACCACACGTTGACAATTAAAAAAAATTTACATATATTTACTCTAAGTGTATCGTACCTCTTGAAACCAGATAACTTTGTTAAGACACTGTAAGTTATTAAAAATATTTCTGTTATTGTTTTACAAATAGCAGAGTAGTTTGAGTTAAAACCAATCAGAACATTTTCATTTGTTTTGCTTATACATTTGCAATTTTCATGTACCATGTGAATTCTTACACTCACTTCAGTGCACTGGGACAAAACATTAAAATGTGAAAATCTCATTACTGGACTTGAAAAAGGTCGAGTAGGTCCAACCACTGAGTGCACCAAAGCTCATCAGTAACGACAGATGTAGAGAATTAGCCCACTATGCACCTAAGAAAAGCCCCCACCCAACCCTCAGAGAACGCTGTGCTGCACTGAAATGCAGCTTTTGCCCAGCAGTCAGGGGCTCAGGGCCTGGGAGGGCTCAGGGACACATTTCTGCAAGGGGGCCAGCAGCACTCCAGCGTTGCTGGCCTCGCTGTGGGCGCTGTACAGCCCGTGCCTCTCGATGTAGGCGCGCACCCCGTCCGGCACCAGGTAACGCACGCTCTGCCCCCTCCGCAGGGCTCTGCGGATCTTGGTGGAGGAAATCTCGTTGGGGATCCACTCCTCCACCAGGTGGATGTTGTTCTTATGTCTCCACAAAATGTCAGACTCGTAGATGAATTTCTGGGCGTTGTTTCCAGCCCTACTGATACACACGAGGCCGTGCTTTTCCACAATTTCGGTGATGTCCTCCAGCTTCCACAGATTGGGGATGCCAAAGGATTCCAGCATGTCACTGCCACACAGCAGTTTAACCTGTGGGACACCTTCAAGAGAAAATTAAATGAGAAATAGGGCTTGGTTTAGGGCTTGGCAGATTTTAGCAAACTTGACAGGGATGTTTAATTTCTTGGCTCTCTCTCTCTGTATCTTTGGTTAAGATGAGACAATGGAATGAAATTTTTAAAAAGATTCAGAGTATATAATTTATAATTAGTAGCCATTACACAGCATTTTTCTGAATAAAGGTTATGGGAGTCTCTTCATTAAAGGGATCTAATGCCTTATGCTGTGGAATCTAAGGGAATAAAGTTACTGAGTGACATCAGAACCAAGAGCAACTATGAAAGTTGCTCATCCATGCAATTATCTTGAAATAACAAGGATCATTAACCATTGAATTTGCTAACAGACTTAACTTTTTACAGCCTGACTCTGATTTTTCTTTTTAATGGGCTCGTGGCTGTTTGGTTGCTGCTTTCTCTTCCGTCCCAGCTTTGTTATGGGTACAGGATCCTGCAGACTATTAGTGACACCAGCAGATAAAAGCTTTTGATGATGATACCTGCAAAACAGATGTATTTTAGGTATGTTAAAGACACAGGAAAAATCTGGAATACTGTGGCCTACCAAAGAACCTATCTCTGCAGTTATCCCAACTTGTTAGAGTTAACACCATTCCTAATCCTTCTATAGGTTCATGAGACTTTTTAGAGGTTGGCTGAAGAATACCTTAAAACCTTTAGTGTTTCCAACCATTCGCTCTGGCAGCTTTCCCAGTCATCAACTTCCACCCAATCTGAGTTTTTTGTAGCCAGTTTTGCCATAGTCACTCGGTGATTTGCACTGATCAGACCTTTCTTCTTGTATGCATCACTCACTGGTGAAATGATGCCTTTGATTACTTTGTATTTTCCTGTGGAAAAAAACACATTGCACAAGAACATGACAAGTGGTTAAGCAGATGTTACTTCCCCTGCACTGCATTTAACCTGTGACATAACCATTATCCAGTGCAATGGCAGCTGATAGCCAGCCCTGTGGAAAAATACAGGACACTTCTGCACTGTCAATGAAAGAGTTAGGAAGATATCTCAGAAAGATCTCTTTCTATAAACTATAAAGCCTGTGCTTTAGCTCATTAAAATCAGTAATAAGCAACACATATATGAGTTCTCTCATAATGGCCTACGTGGTTTTGTATAAGACATAAACACCTATCAGCTTCAATATCTGAGTAGCATTTGCAAAAATATGTCACTGTCAAACAAGCATTCATAGACACAAGATATTAATCCTAACATTTAAGTGTCTGAGTTATATAAATTGCCAGACCTGTTTCATGGAAGTAGTCTTTGGCCAGCTCAAACAGCCTCAGGTGCATGTTGGTGATGGGGTTGAAGGACCCACAGGCCAGCAGTACCACTTCAGTCCTCCTGTCAGGATCCTCCATGGCCATTCCTCACAGCCACGGAGCCAGGAGCAGAATGCTGGTGCCAGGTACAGCCTCTACAGGAAAAGGCATCAGAAAGAGTTAGTGTTACTTGTGCTGCCAATAAGCAGAGGATAAAATTTCAAGATCAAATTGAAAGCTGTATTTTTCTTCCATCAATCTGGCCTGTGACTGCTCATGTGACACTTCTTTGTCCAATTTCTAAGTGATTAAAATATGAAATCACTGCAAAGAGGCTGCTTGCCCAGAGAGGATGGTGTAGTGCCCACTCTGAAGAAAAGCAGATCATACTTTTAAACTTCATGTGGAGAGGTTATCTGTCCTGATTGCAGGACAAACTTTATCAGAATTTTGCACCTTTTTTAAGAAGCCAGTGCCAATCAACTGCCAAGAGACATGTAGGCAGGGAACTTCTCGTGCTTATAGGGAGAAACAGAACATCCTGTGACCGTTCCTAGTCTTGCCACTCTAAACTGCAGTGAGCCTTTCCAGCATGATCTATAAAACCAAGATCGTGTCACATATTATGTTGTATTAAATTATGGAGGAGAACAGTGTCAACATTTCTTCATTTGGGATCTATTTACATTTTCTGAAATATAAAATGTAAAGGGGGTCATTTATATAATTCAGCATGGTATGTGGGAAGAGAGTGCTATAGACTAAACATAAGAAAAGTCAGCCTGCTTTGTGTTGCAGGAAGTGTTAGGTGGACCAGTGGAAAAGGTGAGAGAAGAATAGTAAATTACAGACATTTAGTAAAAGCTGCAATGAAATACTGGGGTTTTTTCCCTTTTCTAAAATTCCACAGTTCTGTTCCATTTCTGAGCTTCAGTTTCAGAAAGCTGTTTAAGAATTGCTGAAAATAAGGAAATTTTACTATTTATTATTTAATTTCTCCTCACACGCATTTTTGCTTCTGTATTCTTTCCTGAGAATATTCTGGCTTGCCAAGATGTTTTCCCACATGTGGCCTAACAAAGGAGAACTGCAGTGGGCTGTTGCTGTTTGTGAGCTGTCTGAGACATCCTGAGGAGCACAGAATTGTCTGCCACTGTTTCTGCAGCAACATCACCACTGGAGAAATCCCACAAGGTCACCCTCACATTGTGCCTCCCTTACAGAGAGGCTGAGTGATGTTCACAGCAGCCACAACGCTGAGACACCATCACAGCCAAACCCTGGACCAGGGACTGTGTCCTAACATCAAACAGCCCGCGGATAAAAGGAACTCCTGCAAGGCTTCCTATTTTGTAAGTGCTAGTACTCTTCTGTCCTTTCAATAGTATCACAAACTTTTAAAATGTTCTTCATTACTGCAGAGTAGCTCAGCAGTGGTGGTACTTGAAATGCAGCCTTCACAGGGGCACTAGGAGAGTTACTATGGGAACAGGGAGGAGAGGAATTAGACTGTCTTTGTAATGCACAAATGCTACTTTCAACAGAGTGATTCATGCTGCAAAACTGGAAAAGGTTGATTTTTTCCTTAAAAAAAAAAAGTGCAAAAAAGTAGAAAATTTTAAGATGGAAATATAGAGTGCCTTTTCGGGAGTTAGTCAAATCTCCCTTTCCATGCTGCTAATTTTACAGTTTACAGGAAAAGGCAATCATTGCCTCATAAACTCACCTTGCACTAAAAGACATCAAAAGATGCCTGCAGCAGGTCTTGGGATGGCTCTGGAGCCCAACCTGCCAGTCACCTTCCGGGGATAAGCAGGTAAGGATGCTTTGCTCAATCTCATTTATGTTTCAGAGGCAAATACCTGTCAAACACGATTATATATCGGTATATATACAGACCACAAGCACGATGTGGGCGTTCACGGACATCCTCCCGCGGCTCTCCGCCCCCGGGGGCCTGCACGGGGCTCGGCTCCCCGCCCGGGGAGCGCCCCCAGCCCATCCGCGGTGAGCCGCGCTCCCCGTGCCCGCTCCGAGCCCTCTATCCCCGCTCCGAGCCCGCTCAGCCCCGGGGCTGCCCCCGCTCTGTGCCTGCTCCCCCTCAGGGCCGTGCCCGCTCTGTGCCCGCTCCCCCCGCCGCCGCTGTCCCGGCTCTGTCCCCGCTCCCGCCGCCGCTGTGCCCGCTCACCCCCGGCCCTGTCCCCGCTCTGTCCCCGTTCCGTGCCCGCTCCCGCCGCCGCTGTCCCGCTCGGCCGGGCCCGCGGGGCCGCTGCCGCTCATTGGCCCGGGCGCGGCGGAAGCGGCGCCGCCGGAGCGGGATGCGCCCGCCCTGCCGCGGCCTGCCCGGCTGAGGGGTGAGGGACCCGGGGCCCGGCGGGCGGAGGGGAAGAGCGGGGCCGGAGCCCGGCCTGGAACGGGCATGGGGGTCCCCGGGTAGCGCCGGATTCCGCCTGCTGCTCCCCGCGGGCCGCCTGCGGCTCCGCGCTCGGCCCGTCCGGAGCGAGGGCCGCGCTCCCCTTCCGCCCGCCCGCCCGCCGGCGGTGGTGCGGCCCCTCAGGGCGGCCGTGAGGCCGGCGTGTCCCGTGGCTGAGTGACTGTGACTGTGGCTGTGTGTCCGTGTGGCCTTGTTCGTGTGGCTGTGCCCGTGTCCCCGTATCCGCCCTGGGGTGATCCCCGGGCAGCTCGGGGCTCTCTCGCCATCCCGGGGCCCCTGTCAGGAGCTCGGGGCTCCTCTCGCCATCCTGGGGCTCCTCTCAGGAGCGCTGGTTCCCTGCGGCCGCCGGCGCTGCCTCAGGCACCTGCACCCGGGCTGGCTCCGGAGCAGTTCAAGGGGCGGCCCCAGAGTCCAATCTGTTGTTTCATACAGCGGGGCCTCTGTATTTCTTGCCACTTGATTTGACGCTCGCTTGATGTGCTTGTGGCTGTTGGAGTTCCCTGCTGAACCGCCTCTTGCTGTCAAGATAATTCTGTACACCCAGCCTTGCATTTCTGTATTTCCACTGCAAGGATCTCCGGGCGTTGTGATTAAAAGTTCCATCAGCAAGATATTGCATAATTTTAATATTTAGAGCATTTAAAATACGTTTTAAGTTGTTGATACAGACAATAAAATATACTTTCTCTTAGGAGTGTCATGTAAAAACAACATTTTCATATGAGAACAGAAAATGGCTTCAAGAGGAACAACAGAGACCAGTAAACTAAAACAAAACTTGGAGGAGCAGTTGGACAGATTAATGCAGCAGCTTCAAGATCTGGAAGAATGCAGGTAATAAAAATAGTTGCTTTCCTCTTACATGGCAGTATTTTTCTTAAGGGATTGGCAGAAGAAAGTGGTACCTGTCAAAAATCTTGGGAGGGGGGAGCTTATTTATATGTGTGTTTTGTTGTGGCCTTCTGGTTTTAAATTAGATAAGATATTGGTGTCAGGTAGTAAAAATACTTTTAAAAACCTTTATTAAGATTGTATTATATCTCTGAGAAAAACACAAGCAGAAATTCTCAGTATTTTCTCTGAAATGTTATATTTCAGTGTGACTTTTAAACTTCTAATAGCTGAAGTCACAATTTTGCCCTCTGCTCCATGGGATGTCTCAGGTTAAATCCTGAATGTGTCTTCTTGGGTCCTAGAGAGGAGCTGGATGCAGATGAGTACGAGGAGACCAAGAAGGAAACTCTAGAGCAGCTGAGTGAGTTCAATGACTCCCTGAAGAAGATTATGTCTGGAGATATGACTTTGGTGGATGAGCTCAGTGGCATGCAACTGGTAAGGATGATGTGTTGCTGAAAAGGTTCATGTTCTGCCTGGAGTTGATGAAACAGCAAATAGATACGAGTGATTCACTACAATTCTTATGTGAAATCTAGATGTATGTAATTAATGCTTTTTATAATTTAATACACTTGTATATGTAAAAAAACTTGGATAGGTGTCTTCATTTAAAAGGGAAAAAAAACTCATTGATGAATTACAACCTTAACACTGTAGGAAATTAAGACCTGGACAGTAATGGAAAGTTTCACAGCTCTTTCTCAGTCTAGTTACATTAATTACAGGATTCTTTAAGCCCTCCATAAAGGTAATTTTTTTTTAATTTCACTTCCATAGTTACAAAATAAAAAAGATGAGCTCTATGTATCAAATGATGCAGAGGGATACTAATGATGCTCTCCAGCCCTCATTAATCTCATCCTGCTGCTGTAGTTCGTGATTCCTGTTAGTCCTGGTCATTCTTGCTCTTCTCCTTGCAGGCAATACAAGCAGCCATCAGCCAAGCATTTAAAACTCCAGAAGTGATTAGAATGTTTGCAAAGAAGCAGCCGAGGCAATTGAGGACAAGGCTGGCAGAGGTGAAGGCTTCTGTTTTACTGCAAAATTTGTTTATTTGATTCAAGGGTGTAATGATTGTAAGGAAAACTTGGTCGTAAAGTCCAAAAGAGATGGAGAGGTTCTCTTTCAAAATTTGTTCAGTTTTAAATGTTTATTGAGGTAATGGGGACAACCATGTGTATTTCTTGATTTATCTTCTATCTTTCTGCTTCAAAGCAAAGATGGGATTAACAGAGTGAACTGAGGAAACTGCACATGGAAAGTCTGTGATTGTGCTGGGGGCTGGAGAATGGACTCGATGTTTCAGAGTTCTAAAATGAAGACCCAGATAAAGTGAAATCAAATGTGATTCCTACATGTGATGTGTAAATACATAATTTTAAATTATTATCATTTTCTCATAAAAAGAGGTCCAAGTTTGGAGAAATCAAGTCAAGGTTAGGGGTAAAGAGTATTTGCTGAATGTTCAGAAAAACTTCACAGACATCTTTTAAATCATAGACAGCTCTGCCCCTTACTGCTGTGGGTCCACGACTACTGATGATATTTTTAGGCTGTTGCATTTCTTATGCTGCTGTGTTGGGTGAAATAATGAGAAGCTTATATATATTTTGACTTTTTTTCCCCCTGGTGTGCAGATGGACAGAGATTTAATGGTTGGGAAGTTGCCAAGAGACCTGTACACCCAACAGAAACTGGAAATCCTGACTGCCCTCAGAAAACTTGGTGAGAAGGTAAGGCCTTGGTATGATAGTCAGGTGAACAGAGTTTCTGCCTATTTAGGAGGAATTAGAAATAATTAAAATAAGAAATTACAATTTTATAAGCAAATGATAAAATGCAACTTGCTGTTATTTTATGTAATGTCCTTCCATTTTAATGCCAAACTCTCAGAAGCTGAACATGTATCAAATAGTTTTTGGTACCTTTCTCTAAGGCTGTTTCTACTTTTAAATACTGCCTTTGGTGGGCTGTATGCATGAATCACACACCAGCTGGTACAAGGTGATGGTATTTATAAAAGCTACAAAACAAGTCTCTTACTGGCCATGTGCCACCAACTCATCAGGAGCTATTCAAGACCTCTGACATGTATCCAGCTTCACTTTTGTAGTGTCAATTATGCCTACCCCTGGGTATGAGATCAAGAAATTGGAGAGATGAGTGATAAATTCATTGTTGCCCCAGTGGCAGAAAAAGCCCTGGGTTTGCCACCAGAGGGAGGAAGAGAAGTTACTTCTCTTTGTGGATGGTATATGAAGAAAATGGGTTGCTGTGTATCTCTGTACTTAAGCTTTTTTAGGAAATGAAGGAATGTAATGGAAAAGATCAAGTGCTGTACTTAAAGGAGCTGCAATCCAAGTAGTTTCCAAAGCAAAGACATTCCCTCAGTATTTTATTGCTTGACTGCCAGAGGAAAAAAAAGTTTTGCAATTCTGTAAAGGCTAGTTAAGGTTGTGAACTGAATGCATGAAGCTATCTAATGCTATTGCAATGAGCTCCTTGGACCACAGCATCAGTTCACTTCACCACACTCTGACCTGTCCTCTTCATCTTTTACAATAATCAGCAGCCTGCTGCACAGAGGGCTTGCTAGGACAGTAATCTCACAGCTGTTCTGCATGTGAACAATGACAGCAAATATTGCATATTTGTCTGCACAACATTGCAATTGTTAAGTAGCTGTGTGTTTGTTTACAAAGCCAGCAAAGGCAGGTAAGTAATGTTTTCCTTCATTCCAACATAATCCTGAATGTTTGTGCCTCATTTTTATATTTCTAATAAATAAACTGATGCAAACACTGTGAAGGGTTTGACACACATGCTTTGCTGTAATAAAGATGTGTATCTGAGGCTAATTAAATGAGTGACTTTTAACTTAGAATATCTCAACCTTCCAAATGTAGGTTACTGCTTCATTACTGTAAATATTTTATGGGCATCTGTCACAAGGCATCAGAGTACATACATAAAAGTAAAATATACATGGGGAAATGTCACTTTAAAGGAAGAGAACCATTTCTAGGTCATTGGCTCTTAACATGGTCAAAGCTGGCAGTGACTGCTTTTTTTTGCTTTCCTCAGTAGATGATAGGAAATAAACTTAGATCTTAGTCCATTACTGTACTGACCATGTGACAAAAAAGTTCTTGACACCTTGGCATAGTTTAGGTACACAGGTACAGTGTGACCTTTTAATAAAAAGTGATCACTGGAAATCTTGAAACTTGCATGTGCAGACATGTGTGACACTGCACATGCTGTCCTGCCTGGGCTGGCAGGAGCCAGGGAGGGAAGATGCAGTGCTAGGGGAAGCACATCTGCTTTTGTTCTAGGTTTCAGTATGGTAGATAACACTGCCCCTTAAAAGCTGCAAATGGACAGTTGCTGTAACCTGTCCTAGCTCATGCAGGTGCACAGGTGGGATATGCACAGTTAAGGTATCAGCTGCACAGTTGTGGTGTTTTTTTATTTAGCTCACTGGTGATGATGAGATGTTCTTGTCAACAAATGCTGGTACAGCCCTGAGCCAATTTGAGAGAGTGTCCACAGACCTTGGTAAGTTTTCATTCTCATAACTTCTGATTCCTTTGCCTCATTGAACACTGATTAATAGAAGTATGTCTGGTTCCCCTGTGAAAGAGAAAATATGAACAAGAGATTCATGCCATTAAATGTTATTATGTTTTATTAACAAGGAGATTGATACAACATCATGAGGAAAAAGTAACACAGCAAATAAATCCAATGCCAAACATCCACAAAATGTCAAGGGTGCCAGTTATGCTGAAGGCTTGAGTAGTGTGTCTCAAGCAGAGATGCTGCTCTTAGGATTAAACACAGATCTCTTTTGCATTAAAGACTTTATTCAGGAGAGTTTTGTCCTCTGCTTGATGCAGAGAATTTGGGAGTTATTGGCACATTGTCAAAATACAGCTTTAAAGCAGTCTTCCTGCCATGATTCTCACACCTCTGATTGTGTCAGATGAAGAGTTCAGTTACAAAAGGCATTAAACAAGCACACCAGCTCATTGTAGCAGCAGTTCAACTGGGATGGAAGAGCTCTGAATGGCAGGAACGTGCCAGACTAGCTCAGGCTACAAATAAACTGTCTGGGTGCCCTGCCTTGTGCTCTGCTCTCCCTGCCAGTGTAAGCCAGGTGAGAACCTCTGTTCAGGAGGGGACTTTGGTGGCAGCTCTGGGTGTGGGAGGTGTTACCAGCACCATTCCAGCTACAAACACAAATCACAGCTCTGCAAGGGAAGCTGGGGGAAAGGGAGCTCCAGCCAGCCAGGCCCAGTGGCACATGGCTGCTCTAGACCTGGCAAGCCTGTGTGGAGTTTTTTTTTTTTTAATTAGCTCAAGTTCTAGTTTTCACAATGAAGGTTTGATTTCTTTGGATCTCAAATGTTTTGCTTGATTTAAATTGTGTATAAGGTAATTCACAATTTCCACTAATACTTACTGAAAATGCTTTTTCCCCCTCAGGATCAGGAGACAAAGTCTTTGCCCTTGCAAGTGTTGAAGTAGAAAAGGCAAAACAATGAAGAGGTTCATGAGGCTTGTGTCTCCAGTTGTCAGCAGCATTGGATTTTGGTGATACTGTGTTTGGTTTTTCTGTTTCTAGCATGTTGAAAATAAGCAAAGCAAAACAAAAAACCCAAGCCCTAAACTTCTTGGGTCCTTAACCAGAAGATACGAAGTAAACAGCCTTAAGTGCACTTTGGAACCTTGGTGTCTGTACCCTTTAAGTAATACAAGCTCTGAGGCTGAACACTTAAGTGGAATTCTAAAACAAAAGCATGGTATGACTGTCTTTGGAAAGAGGCAGCTCTTTTGAACTTCTCTGAATGTGTATTTCTCTAACTATTAAAACTTAATCTTTTTGCATGTGGTTGTAGCAAGCAGATCTTTTTAAGAAGTGGTCCTGATGATTTTTTTGGGTGATTCTTCACATTGTCTTAATTTTTGTCTGGACTCCCTACTAAGTAGTTTGTGCTAGGAAAGCATTGAAGCTTTGGAAAATGGATGTCGTTTATTGAAATGCCATCTTTCTACAAACTGTTTGCAGAAGACCCAAAAGGAGCCTGGATGCTGATCACTGGCCCTTGGCTGCTGCTTTGCCGTGCACATGAATGAGCACTTTGTGTCCCAGCCCCGCTGAGGACAATGGCAGCGCTGTGGGGAGGCTTCTGGAGCCGTTTAACCTCGTGTATTGACAGGACAGGAATTGACAGGACATGGCAATGAGATGCTCTTCCCTCAGCTCCGGTGTGTAACTGCACACTGCTGTTATTTCAGAGGGCACATGGAATAACTTGCAAGTAGAAAGAGGTTTGAAAAGGGGGGAGAAGCTCCCGATGTGATCAGTGTTGCTCAGTCTCAGTGGTGGAGGGGGAGGGTCTGTGCCTCCACTGGACCCTGAATAAACTTGGCATAGGAGGATTTGAAATCTCACGTAGTTGAATTTTTAGCTCAGAGACTTAAGTGGGTAGCATAGACTATAAACGGAAAATTAACGTGGTCAGTCGTCATTTAGAGTGCACTTACAGGGCATAAACAGCCTATAAATTAGCAAGTTTGTCTAATTGTAAGCTAGGACTGGAATAGACTAGAAAATGTGTTTGTAGACTGTATTTTGCTTTAACAGATGTACTTTTGACATCTAGCATTTAAGAAATGAAAGGTATAGACAGCATAATTTGTTTTTCACTGACAGAACATTTTTCTCCCTGTTTTTAAAAAGCCTTTATTGAGGAGGGGTCTTTTGTCCATTCCAGCAGAACTATTTTCCTGTCTGGGACAGCATTGTGTTCTCTGACAAAGGCTGATTGCAGCTTCATAGCTGAGAGCAGCTTATTAAAAGGCATTATTAGACTCTGAAATTATGGGAAACAAAACAGTCTGTGGGGACTGGAGCTGCCTTCTTTTCCTTTCTGCTCATTACTGGTGCTAAGGAACTCTCCCCATACACCCCCAGCCTGCTTGCAGCATTACTATGTAAATTAAATCTCTCAGCACTCACAAAAAGTTTACAGTACAATGGCATGGAAATCTTTTTCCTTGTAGTTTGAGAGGTGCAAGTTTCCAGGAGAAACTTTTTTAAATTGGTTTGTAAATATTTCAGGATTTTTGCAAATTCCTCTACTGCTGGCAGTTGTAACTTTCCAATTAAATTGATCCTTGTCTGAACACCTTTCCAACATCGTGATGTTTCTGCTCTTGGAAGGATCTCTGGTGGTTTAGATGGACAAAGATGAGACTGAGATCAGTGCCCAGGATTGCAAGATTCAGTGTCAGGTCAGACTTCTCAGGAGCTGTGAAGGGTCAGAAATGAGAGCTCTACCCAGAGACTGGCTGTGTCCTGCACAATGCCCTGACCATAAATGTGATTTAACAAGGAAGCTGCTGCTGATGTGAAGCTATTCAAGTGTTGAACCTCACAGATAGTTAAGTAACCTCTTAAATAATTAGATTGATTTCAGGCATAGTAAGTTAATTGGTGTGTTGTGCTAAATACTTTGCTAAATAATCCTGGGATGTACCTCGATCACCATCTTAAATGTTTCTGCAGGGGCTGGGGAAAAAAAAGAAGTCCATAATCTATTTATTATAATAATGATTTCCTCAAATAAAAACTGATAACAAAAGAACAACTGCTAAATGAAAGCATGGGTTTGTGTTGAACAAACAAGCTTGTGATGTGTGAGTTCCATCCCCAGCTCAGTGTTGGACCTGGGCAGATCACTCATTCTGTACACATCTTTCTTTCCTGGAGTAAAATACAGATTATGATCCTTAAATATCGAGTGCTGTGAAGTTGTTATTGATCATACATTGCTTTGAAGATTAAAAGTGCTTTGTTTTTTTGTTTATCATTTTACTTCTGAAATAAGAATTGTAAAGTACAGTAGCTTTAGACACATCAGCAATGTTCCCAGAGTCCTTTTTTGGCCGTATATAACCTCCTTTTTTTAATCTTCTTTCTCTATAGAGTGAATTCAGTGATTGTACTGATCTGAAAGAAAAAGTGTTAGAAAATTTAAGCTTCAAAAATTCTGTCTCTCTTTCTTCTGTCTTTGTCTCCTTGTGTTATTTCCCTTCTTTGATCCTGAATGGAAAAGTAGCAAGTTAGTGTTGAAGAAAAAATACAAGATTTCTTAAGAGATACCTTATTTTCTCATGCTACTTTTCCTGTAAAAATCAAATTCATTTTGTGTTAATGACACCCTATGGACAGGCAGTTCAGGCTGTATCATTAGTGGCTGAAATGGGATTGATGCATGATTTTGATGGATTTGAATTACCAGACTAAGTCTGACGTATAAAAGATTAACAAAAGAAAAAGAGATTCCAAACTAAAAACAAGTCCTTCATTGGGTACCACACACATCTTGGAGAGAAAGAGTTTTCATTATTGTTGTGTGTGGTTGAACCCTGGATAATGAAAGCAGGAATTGTGTGTGCAGATGCTGCTGCTGGAAGCCCTTAATGAGAGGGGGATGCCAACAAGTACAGAGGGACTTGGAGGGTGGAAGCAGCTGTGCTGTGAAAGAATCCTAAATTAATTTCAGAGCTGATTAAGAAAGAATTGGAGATCAGGAAGGACAGGGTGAATTGAGAGAATTTTTCTAAGTCAAGTAGGGATTCGGAAGAAAAGGTTTCATGAAGTTTTTGGCTTACTAGAATAAACAGTAGCTTCATTAAACAAGAGATTAGAAGCTATTGAAAAATCCATTTAATCTGATAGATTTCTGTAAAAGAGTATCAAGTCTTTATACAATACTTGTGAAAATGTTAGACCTAACATTTAGATAATTAAACTTGTAACATCCCCTTGCTGAGGGTTAGATCAAGCAGTGTGATTGGGAAGGAAGAGATTTGATCAAGTGCAGTTCTACCTTCTGTTTGCTTTGGGAGGCTCTGTGCATTCCCATGAGACATGAACAATATTTTACTCTATCTCTTGCAGAACTAGCAATAGTTGAGAGGCCTCTTGAGCATCCATCATGTCTTATGATGATACAAGTGACTGATGGCAAGATGTCACCTTGCTTGATAGCTAAACACCTCGGTAAGCTTGAAGGTAATGAACTAAGGTGGGGCAGGAGCTCAGGTTTAAGAAAATAAATCTAAAATTCTCCTAGGCTAGAGGAAGCCTTGTGGTATCTGTCCCTGCTAAAACTCTTTCTAAATGAATGCAGGATGTTAAATTGATGATCTGTAAGACTGCATTGCACTGCTGTACAGTCAGCCAGCTGAATGAGGAGAGCTAGACAGTACTTAGTCATAAAATGGTGTTGTGCCCATGATGTTATCAGTAAGGAAATTCATACTATTGCAAGGATGCAAATGATGGCTTAATTATATGCTCCCACTAGCATAAGATGCTTTTAGATCTTTCCCTCAGACTCATGTACTGTGCTAATTAACAGTAATCCAACTGGAGGATCCCAGAGCAATGCTTCTGCATATTTTTTCAGCTTATGCTGGAGCTCTTATGTTCTTTTCTTAAATAATTAATAATCATTACTGCCTGCTGTGCTGTGGGTATGTGCCAGTGATCTCAGATCCCAGCACATTTGCACCATTCCTGTTCCTGTCAGAGGCTTGGGTTTGCTCTTTGCAGAGGCTTTCATGTTAAGCCCTTCATTAGCTGGCAGTGGGGTTTGGATTTCAATGGCATCGGGCTTTGATGTCATTAAGTATCAAGCTGTTAAAGGAAGCGCCACCTATTTCATTACTGTGACTATCTTCATGCAAGCAAGTTAAATACCAAGTAGAAAACAGATGAATTTTACTAAATAACACTTGGTACACAAAGCATTTTTATCTCCAGGAATTTTGTACTTGCCTGCTGGCTTCACCAATGCACCCTGTAAGGAAGCAGGGTAACTGTTAACCTAGTGGGAAACCATAGTGCAGATGAGTGGTGGAGCAGGGTGATTTAACGAGGACGGTTTCTGTCTTCTTTCGTTTTTAGTTTTAAGTAATTCCTCTCTGTGTTAAATCTTCTCTGTGTTCACTGGGGTTTTACTCTTCCTCAGTCAATGTAGGTGAAGCATTACTTTGAGTGCTTCAATGACCAAATGACCATTTGCTCTAGTTGGAGGTTGGCATTTTCTGTATTGGCTGAATTAGCTCAAGCTGTACTGGATGTTGCAGTGTCTGTAACTTTCTCAGCGCAGTGTTACGGAGCAGCGCCCTGCTGGGCTGGATGTGGATGTGTGCTGGCCGCAGCGCAGCCGTGCTGCCCCGGAGCGGGGGGGACAGCCAGGCGGAGCCCGGGCCAGCCGGAGCCCGGGCCAGCGGCACAGGAGATCGCCAGGTGAGTGCGACCGGCTCCGACCCCGCGGGGAGGCTCCGACCCGGCCAGCGCTGGCCCCTCGCCCGGGCCTGCCCGCCCCTTCCCCGGGCCTGCCCCGCGTCCCCTCCCCGCGTCCCCGCCCCTTCCTCCCGGCCGGCTCTCGGCTGCTGCCTGCGGCGCCGCCGCTGCCCTGGGCGCCGGGACGCGGCGGGTCCCTCCCCCGGAGCCGCCCAGGCACCTCCCTCGGGCCGCCGCGGTGACTCACGGCGGAGGAGGAGGAGGAGGAGGAGGAGGCTGGGCTCGGCTCCGCTGCTCTCGCCCGCCCGTGCCGAGCGCGCCCCGCCGCCGCCCGAGCCGCGCCGAGCCGGGGCCGCCGGCCCCGCACCAGGTGAGCGCGGTGCCCTTTGTGCGCGGCCGCGAACAAAGGCGCTCGGCCGGCCGGGCCTCCCCGCTCCGCGCTGCCGCTGCCGGCCCCCGGCAGGCCCCGGCCCCCCGGCACGGGTACCGGGGCTGCCCTGGGGATCTGCTGCCCTCGCCCCTCCCGTCACCGGGCGCCCCGCTCCGCGCTGTGCCGCCCCGGCCGTGGCCGCGCTGCCGTGGGCAGGTGAAGTCACTGCCCGTGGAGCCGGGCACGGAGCGCAGGTGTCCCCGGTCCGTGGGTCTGCCCTGCTGGGCCGGCTCGGGGCAGCGCCCTGTGCCCGCGGTGCTCTCGGCATCCCCGCCTGGGAAAGCGCCTCTCGGACAGTGCTCAGCAAAGGAACTCCCTCGGGGTAATTCCTACCTGGGCTAAAAATTGTGTTTCTGGAGCCTCTGAGGCAGCACTCGGTAACTTTCAGTTTACATGGACGGTATTTGTCGGCACACGTTAGTTTTTTACCTGTTGGGAGGATAGGTGAGAGAGGGACAGCATCACCCTCCGGATCAGGATGTGCCAGTGCTCCAGACACAGACGAGACCTGATCCTCGTGTCTGCTCAACATCCAGATGTGCTTCATCACCGCATGTTTGCCTCTCAGGCTCGGGTTTGCTTTCTCTTCAAGAAGAGACTATTTTGCTCTGTTGTATATCATCTTTTATTTGTCCGTTCCTCATCTTGGCATGTTGAACAGGGTGAGCTTTGATGCTGTGTGTGATGAGCATGAGACATTGTGCAGATGTGAGGATTTGAAAAAAACAAAACACCAAACTCCAGCAGACTTTAGTGGCAAGTTAGATATGCTACTTCACAGTCCTGGTCCAAGCTGGCTCCAGCATGGTGAGAAGCATGTTCAGAAAGTATTTAGGAACATATTTTTAAATACAATACAAAATCCTACTATATTTGGTTTTTTTGGCTGCTGAACTTGCAGACTTTCAATTTCTTTTGGCCTTGTTTATTTTTGGAGCTCATGTGTGATGTGAAATAGCCTGCTGAGGGAGAACCTCTGTGTAAATAGGGAAAAAAAATGAGGTTAAACATGCACTTGAGTGGGGTTTATTTTGAAAGTACAGGTATTCAAGGTGAGGGAGCATACAGAAAGCTAGGTATTACTGCTTTTGAAAATACAGGCTGGTTTTCTTACCAAGCTGCAAGCTACTTCTGCCTTGACAAACAGATTCATGTGGAAAATGGTGACAGGTGTACTTCAGATAAATTTCTGTTGCTTCACTTTGCCCTTAGCTGAAAAAGCATCATCATTTTTTTGCATCTTGGGCTCAACTGGCAGCTCCCTCAGTATAATTCAGAGTTGTTAGGGATTTGTGTGCTGTCTTAGTCAGTACACAGAAATAATAAATCTGTGAAGGAGTGTGTTATGACTGAACAAATGTGGGAGCAAAGGTCATTTTGAAAAACTTAATTGGTAGTGGGTTGGACCCAAATCTGCTTTAAAGCAACTTTCTCTTTTAGTTCATTGTGAGCCTTGCAACAAGTTATAGGGAAGCTACATAGAGCAGAAAAGTGCTTTCAGGATTCTTCTTGATGTCCAGGTGGGAAGACAGAGAAATCTTCAGTAGGAAAACCATCCCCTGGGCTGGCAGGGTCACTGTGATCACCCCCTGTGTGATCCCCAGACAGGGGCTGCCCTGCAGGAGCTGTGTGGCAGCAAGGGCTAAAGGAGCCTCTGTCCCTGTCCTGACAAAACTGGTCCGTGCTCCTGAGTGTCACTGGGCAGAGCATCCTGTGGAGGCTTGGCAAAGCAACTTCTGAATCCCAGTTTTGTGGGAAATGTGCAGCTGTATCAGTTTCTGCTCCCTTCCATCCTTTCCCCCATCCAGGGTTCACTTTGCAGGAGGAAAGAGACGTTTCCAAAACAATTTGTGTTGTCTTCTAAACAAAGCCAAAAGTGAATGGAAACAAAACCTAGATTTTGTAATTGCTAGCAATGACTAAAAATCATCCTGTAGTTGCATATGGGCAAACAGAACTAACACCTAAGTGTGCCTGATGTGGTTAAGCTGTTCAAGGTTGATGCTTTGCCTAGG